GTGTGTGTGTGTGTGTGTGTGTGTGTGTGAGAGAGAGAGAGAGAGAGAGATCTCACATACATCAACGGAAGGTATAGTGAGAGGCCTGCTAGAGCATAGAAATATTTGCCATTGCTGTGTGAGGTCGTACTCAGACTAGGACTTCCCTGTATCCATCTGACCCAGTCATGGCCGGCTTGCTTGCTAGGAGGACGAATTCCATCGGCAAACAGCTCTCACCGAGTCTCGCTTAGGTGTGTTCTTGAAGTCGTTCTCTGCTGGCCAGGACCGCCGGTTTTTGCGTAAATAATACCGTTTGCCACCATCTTCCCCCGGACAGAATGTAGGGTCATTATCATTATATTTGGAGCGAACAGTGCGCTAAATACAGACATAATTGTCACACGTTGAATTCGGGGGAAGGCGACAGGGCTGTCTTTTCTCTCTTTTTCAAATTTTTTGACCGTTTCTCCATTCGTGCGCCGAGCAGGGAAAATATGGAATGCCTGCAAGGCCGAAGCCTTGGAACTGTGACCAACTGGGACCAAACGGAATTTGGGAACCGGGACTCGGGTTGCTGCAATATCAACATCGAGCCTGAGATCAGACAGAAGCTCACAACTGTGTTCGCTAAAGTCCCTACTAACATCGACCCAGGGGGAGCAAGCGGACTATCTCAACTGGTTCGCACGAAGCACGCCGAAGCCGGCCAGTGGGGATTGAACCCGCAACCGCGTGAATGCCGCTTGCATGTGTAACCAGCTGAGCCAGACTGCCATGCCCAGTGCTGCTGGAGGGCCAACCACGATCAAATACATGTACCCATGAACTGTTCAAATCCAGACCTGAGTCAGAATGCTGCCAATGACTTTTTGGGCCAGCGTCTGCAGGTGGTAACAGTCAGATCTAGCACAGTCTCAGGTAAAATGCAGGACAAACAAACAGCAGAGGGTGTCCTAGAGGTACATTCTCTAGTGAAATGTGGAACAAACAAACAAAGTCCCAAAGGTACAGTCATTGGGTCACCAAAGGATACGGAGACTGTACCTTTGGGACACCAATCAAAACTGAATGATACTGCGAAGATTAGGAAACAAAAACAGAGAGAAAAAGAGGAGAAAAAAGAGGAGGAAAAAGAAGCGAGAGAAAAAAGAGGAGGAAAAAGAAGCGAGGTCCCGGGAGGAGAAAAAGATAAGCACATATGCGAGGGATGACACCTGCAAAATTAGGAGAAATTTTCGGAAAACAATCTATTGCCCCGCCTGCCACCGCACTCCCACCGATAACTCCCCCTCCACGCCCCCCTTTCTGAATGAATGAATGACGGCTTGCCCTCCATTCCCATCGCTCCCCGCCACACATGCACAACCGGCCCAACCAG